AAGAAGCAAATTACAAACCATAAGACAAATACAATAGATACAAATTAAATAAAATACACTCGTTTTTCTAATACAGTATGTTTAACGTGTATACTTTATTTAGCATCTTTTGTTTGATTAACATTAATGAGACAGACAGGTATTTAATTAGTCTGCTGTCCCTTTAAGGCCGGTTTTCACCCACCTTTTTCCGTTCACTTAAGCCATAACCGACTGTATTTACGAGATACTCCACACGATGGACATTTTGACAAGCTGTGTGTGTGTATTTGGCGTGAAGGCGCAAGGAGAACTGATAGCAGAACTAGGATCGTGCTGGCGCACGGCTGAGAGAGTGCTTCTTTTCACTTACTGCAAGTTAATCGATAACGAATTGTGATTGGATGGTAATTTTGTTCTACGACAAGCTTAGTTACCTGTTCTCGCGTGACAGAACACTAAAAATAGAGCTGAAATATGGGACTGTCCCGGGAAAAACGGGACGTCTGGTCACCCTAGCCATAAAAGGTGATATTTATTATAATGCTATCAATCGATTAAAAAATTAACTAATTCAACATTTGTTTTCTTAAATTAATCGCGAATAATCCCACCTAACATTAAAGGGGTGAAATTTCCTTTAATCTTTTGACATTTAACGGGTCAATACTATAAACACATCCTGTAAGTTTCAAAACTCAAAACTTCCTCCTCAGTTTAAAAACAGTTTTTATTGAAACCAAGCTCAGAAAATGACTGGTTTTGGAATGTGCCACTTTATGATGTAATAGTGTGACTAAGCACCGCCTCCGCAGGAGAGGATCGACGAGTACTTCTACATCACTGCCTGTTTAGCCCCGCCCACTGATGCGAGCCTGTAGTAGAAGGAGAGGAAATAGCATGATGCAAACACAGGATTACTCCATCAGAACCACACAGATGACATATAACAACATTACAAGACCAGGGGCGGTTCTAGGGGGCTGCCGAGGGGGGCCAGTGCCCCCGTGTCAACAAGCTTGGCCCCCGCTCTGGCCCCCCTAAATTTGGAATCGTATCACACAAAATAATATTGGGTGCAATGCGCAGTTTGTCCTGTGGGTGACAGTAACGGAAAAAAGTAAAACATCACCAGCTGCTAGTGGCGCAGAGCCAGATGGTTTTTACAGCTCTGCGCATTAAAATCAATCACACACCATTCTGTTGCGCTTATAAATGCAGCGGCCAATCAGAGGTGTTTAGATGAGTCATCGCTGAAACGCCAGTGTTTTGTACAGTGTGCGCGCTCGCTGACTGAATTCTGCTCTCTGGCGAATTTTCTCATCATAAACAACAAAGTGCAGATGTGTGTACGAATGTAAGTAAGATATTCATTTCATAGGGTAAACCGCTTCAGTGATTTTGATGGGAGTTTATGAGAGTGCTTGAACTCTGACTAGACTGAAGTCAGTGATATTGTTTTTGATAATGTAAATGTTCTTTGCTCTCTTTCTGTACCATAAAAGTGTTATAATTTGTAACTTACAATGTTTTTATTAAATTCACATTAAATACAAAGTCAGTTGTATTAAAAATATTGTATGGCATGACACCCATATCTGGTACTTAAGTAAAAAGAGGGTTTTTTGCATAGTTAATAGATTACACTATTAGGCTACTTTGCTCATCGCCCATTATAGATCAACTAACATAATCTATAAAGGTGCAAAATGCATTTACTTACACATATTTGAGGCTTACTTGTAGAGATTGCAGTGATAAATGACATGGTGAAAAATTACAGAATGAATAATACTGAAAGTAGGTTAAAATGAATTTTAAAAGTGTGCCCCCTAAAAGTGCAAGTGGCCCCTGCCTGGCCCCCCCAGTTACTGTGGTCTAGAACCGCCACTGTACAAAACACTGTAGTGTAAGCTGTGAAAAATAGTCTTTGAATTGCCTACCTTCCTTCCTTGCGATCCTAACATATCTAGATCGGACGCGAGCGCTGTTGCGTCATGTCGTGAATCAATTACTCTTTTAGGTCAGAAGCGGCGCATGTTTGTATGTCAGAAATAGAGCGGCACATCAGTTTACTGTCAGAGATTTGTTGTGTCAATCTGTGCCGCATCCAGTGTACAGTAGACAGAATCACCGATTATGCGCCGCTCGCGTCCGGTGTAAACAGGGCCGTCCTTAGGGGGGTGCAACTGGTGTGGCCCCACGCTTGCCTCTCCTTCTGCTGAAGAATGTTAGCTTGAAAGTACTGTTCCACAATTTTATTTTGAGAACGATCATTTTCAACACTGAATGACATTAAAGTCGGCATGAAACGGAAGTTGCGATTGTCTTTTCTTGTCTGCTGTGACTTATATCCGAGTGAAACGGCATCTGAAATGAGAGTGCGGGACTTGATTTCATCCTTCGGGAATTGATTGGATCGTTGGAAGGTGGGGCGTTGCCAACAAAATGGAGGCAGATCTAAATGCCAGTTTGCAGTTAGTTGTGGGGAATTTCTCTCCACTGGATTCACCGCTGACACCCTAGCATGAATAAATGTTTATTTTTATTTTTATTGAGGATGACGACGACGATCAACTGCACAAAACATGCCTAAACAGCGCGAGAGAGAGAGAGAGAGAGAGACCAGAGATTGTCTAGTGGCTTTGGAGAGACTGCCTGAGTGCATCCTCCATCAGGTTAAGTCATATTCATGAAAAAAAATTATAATTAGTTTGCGATGTTCTAAGAGTAATGTTGTCGTTGTCGTAATATTCTAATATCTTTTCATTGTTTAAGGGTAACGTACTCCCTCATGACTGGTGTCAGTGCTATAAAGTGAAGCATCAGCTTCAGCTTTTCCCCCTGCAGCTGTTGGCAGTTCCAGATAGCTCCGCCCTTGCTCCATAGCTCGTGACCGGAAGAGTAGAGGAGTCCTTTTGAGGGGGAGTGGAGGTTAACGTTTTTGATTAAAGATTACGAGGGCACATGAATTGAAAAAAAATAATGAAGTGCACGGATAAATTATTTATAATAAACACTACAGTATTCCATCAAAAAAATAAGAATTGTCCATTTTGATTTCATGCCGACTTTAATATGTTCCATTAAATTAAGTTATTATTAATGACTTTGTTTTGCACACTTTAGATCTTACATTAATGATTAAACTGGGGGGGGGGGGGGGTGGATTGTGCATCATGTGGATGCACAATCCACATGACTCCTGTGCATCAGTTAACATCATGTGAAGTGAAAAAACAATATAGAGTCAAACAATTACTTTTATGACATAAAATGTTATGTACATATTATGCAATAAATAGTTTGGCTATAGTATTTTGCTTTTTTTTTTTTTTTTTTTTTTTTTTGAAATTTTTTTCATGATTAAAATTTTTTTTTTTTAGTTCTTCAACTGCCAAATATCATGTTTAATTAAGTGTTACTTGCTTTTTATAAATATACTTGCTGTGTGTATATATATATATATATACACACACACACACATTTTCTTAATTGATGATTTTTTTTTTTTCATTTGAAATCTTTTTCATGACTGAAATGTCTCGGGTCATATTTACTGCCATTTCTTGAGACCTACCGTATACATCACAACAGAAAGAGTCTCCATCTGTTTGTTAATGTCAAATACATTTATTTGATAAAAAAAAAAGAACAATATTGAGCCCTTGGTGGGGATCAGTCTCCAGAAACAGACCTGACCTGAACAACTCAGCAGACATTTAAAAACAAAGCTGCCATTGTGGTTTCATTCCAATTACAAAAGCCTTCACTAATATTCATTAAAACCTTCTGAAAATTAAGCATTAAACAAACATGTTCAGGCCTGTTGATATAATACTTCATTACAAAATATATTAACAGCAACAATGCAGTTAGTCTTAATAAATACAGCTTAACTTCACATTCGCCTAAATAATATTAGCTAATTGCTTTTTTTATTCCATAGCAGATTTGAGGACGAAATGATTACATATTAGTAATGAAAACTGAAACCATTGGTGTGCTTCCCCAACACCACCATCTTAAAGTCATTCGCATGAATATAAAATAAATCCCAAGTGCCCTAATCAAACACAATGCCTAAAGAACTACAGATCTGTACTTATGTTAATAGTGATTTCAAATTAAATGCTGCAAACAAATAAAAAAAACATGCAATGTAATTAGTCAACACTAAAAGACTATTTTACAAAAAAAAAGAAACTATACACGAGAACACATCATGCCACTAATATTGATCATTTGTTCAGCTTCAAGTATGATTTAGTGCTCAGCGAACTGGCAGCACAATATTTTCAGATTTTGTGTTTAATGACTTCTTCCCCAGGCACATATAATGACCAGGAAACATCACACTAGCATGTTATTTGCTACACGCTAAGTGTTACATATAAGGCCAATTTCACTTCATGCATTGTGTATGAATACATGTCGAGCCCATAGTGGTTCATGTTATAAATATGTCGTATTATATCTCCCACTCCTGTCTTTTTTTCCACGCCCTATTTTACCTCTCTATATCACAGCACTTTTTTACTGGGCAGGTAGAACTAAATTATGCACAACAAGGTTAAAAAAAGTGACATGCATAAAATCTAATTAAGTTTCCAGTATGCAGTGATTAATAAGATGATCTACTTCGTTCTAACTTTGGCAAGTATTTAATCTACATATAAAAACAAGTATCATTACAAATAAAGTCTCTTGGCTAAGGCTGTAGCTGGTGGCAGCTAGTGAGGTGGTGTGTTGTGCTTCATTTGCGTTTTCTTAGCACTAGATACATCAAGCCGCTCAGCAGCGTCATGGGGAACGCGACCCAGGCCACAACGAAGGCGTACCCGTACTCTCCATTCTTAAAATTCTTGTCTTTGAAGTTTAAGTGCTCTGCTGTGTAGATGGATGCACCGGTCATCACACAGAAAGCTGTGGAAGGGGGAAAAAAAGGGGCAATTTACAGTTGGTTGGTTGTATTTATTCTTCACAGGCAATTACATGTCACATACAAATTAAACATTCAACAAACAATATAATAAATACAAGCATTTTACAACGTACAACTTTTTGTATACAAAAAAAGATTCTTTAAAGGAATAGTTCACCCAAAAATACAAATCTGAGGCCATCCAAGATGTAAATGAGTTTGTTTCCTCATTGGAACAGATTTGGAGAAATTTACAGTTTTAACACTGCTTGCTCACCAATGGATTCTCTGCAGTGAATGGGTGCCGTCAGAATGAGAGTCCAAACAGCGGATAAAAACATCACAATAATCCACAAGTAATCCACATGACTCCTGTGCATCAGTTAACATCATGTGAAGTGAAAAGCTGCGTGTTTGTGAGAAACAAAATCATTTAACCTTAATCCATTTTAACACTTCCTCAAGTGAAAAAGTCCATTCCCAACATTCACTTAACAAGACATTAATTGATGGACTGGAGTCGTGTGGATTACTTATGGATTATTGTTGGATTATTGTGATGTTTTTATCAGCTCTTTGAACTCTCATTCTGCCGGCACCCATTCACTGCAGAGGATTCATTGGTGAGCAAGTGATGCAATGCTAACTTTCTCCAAATTGGTTCTGAACTTGTACTTGTCAAAAACGGTAAACGTTTTCCTGTGTCCATCTTAAAAAATAAGTCCTTCAAAGCTGGGACAATTTACAGACTAGAAAGATGTAATGTGTCACATGACAGTACAAATACTGTGTAGGTGATTCAAGACCCCTCTTGACCTGAGATTTTGTGTAATGAATGGCTAATTGTACATTTTCTTTGTATAGTGCATAGACAGTAGCTAAGAAATCGCAATTGTACTGCTAACAATGATTTGAAATATATGCTGTGGGCATGAACTCACCAGACAAGAGCTGGATGATGGCTGTGAAGACAAATCTCTCGCCCTGCTTCAGACGGAAGAGCTGAAGGATGAAGACAAAGAAACCTACACAGCACAAGCAGCACAAGAGTATCATGGTGGCCTGAACAGTCTGAAGATAGGCTAATAAAGAGGAAGAGAACATGACACACATGACACATGTGAAAATGTTGTGCAGAAATGGC